TTCCCAGTATGTCCCCATGTGGGAACAAAATGCCCAGGCTCCAATAGCACAGGGTCACTTTCCACCCAGGGACACCCTGACATTGATGAAGCTCTCAAGGAGCTCGCATTCTAATAGGAGAAACAACACACAAACCACTATGTATAAACAAGACATGTATAGGATAAAGAAGAGATCATCACAGAAGGAAGTCATTAGCATCAAGGCGGATGGGGAAAGGCTTCTTGAAGAAGGAAGAAGGCTCACTGCAGCTCAGTGGAGATGAGTACTCTCTGTCCTCCTACACAGAACACCACCCCATCCCCTCTTCTTGACTACTACTAGTGCAAGTGCATGTGTTTTATGCTGCTGGACTGGCCTGCCTAGTCATTCCCACCCTTGTAACTTCTCCTGGAAGGCTAATAAACTGTTGTGGTGATCAGTATTTCCAGATGTTTCTCCTTCCTTGTAGAATCAAAACCCATTGGCAAGTTTAGCCAGTCCACAAGTGACAAAGGAAAGTCATTTTCACTATGTCAATGTAATGTAATATCCGATATTCATACAGTACTTTAAAGTCTGCATAGTATGTGATTCATTCCACTCAAGCAACAAGGGGAAAGAAAGGAAATAAACTTAATTAGTTGACTGAGTGATTGATTTTATTTATATAGCACCTACTATGTGCCAGGCATTGAAGCCTCTGCAAATATTTTCTCATTTGATCCTGACAACAACTCATCAAGGCAGGTGTAGTCATTGTCATCATTTTGCACTTGAGGAAACTGAGGCAAACAAAGGTTAAGTGCTTTGGCCAAGGTCACCCAGCTAGTAAGTATCTGAGGTCACATTTGAATTCAGTTCTTCCTAACTATAGGTCTGGGGTTCCAGTCCCTGTGCCATAGATGCCTCAAAAACAACTCTCTGTAAGGGGAGTCCTACAGGTATTATTATCAACAAGTCAAGTCAACAAGCATTTATTAAGCACCTACTGTGTGCCAGGTATTGTGCTAAATGCTGAGGATACAAAGAGAGGCAAAAGATAGTTTCTGCCCTCATGGAATTCCCATTCTAATAGGAGAGACACAAACCACTATATATAAACAAGGTCTAGGACAAATAGAAAGGAGATAATCACAGAAGAAAGTCATTAGCATTAAAGGAGATCAGGAAAGGCTTCTCCTTGAAGGTAGGAATTTAGAGGGATCTTGAAGGAAGCCAGCAGATGGAGATAAAGAGAAAGAGAATTATCCTCCTAGAGATGAGGAAATCAGCCCCTAAGAAGTTAGGTGACTTGCCCATGGGGGCGCAACAAGGAAGTATCAGCCCAGGCCTTTGTAAGGCCATCTCCAGCTATGCTGCATGCTCTGTGATAGAGATATGTATGATACAATAGGATGCATGTTGACTTGGTAGTTGGGAGAGCAAGGTTCTCATCCCATCTGCTGTGGGACTTCACACAAAGCACTTCTGCCAACTGGCCACCCGTTTCTTCTTGAATCAAACAAGAGGGCCTAATAGTCTTTGAATCTCTAGCAGGAGTGCAGAACCTGCAGCCTTGAGGCCACATGTGGCCTTCTATGTCCTTGGGTGTGGCCTTTTGACTGAGTCCAAGTTTTACAAAACAAATCCTTTTATTAAGGAGATTTGTTCTGTGAAGTTTGGATTCAGCCAGAGGGCTGCACTTGAAGACCTAGAGGACCACATGTGGCTTTCAGGCCACAGGTTCCCCACCCCAGTGGCTAATAATCCATGGCTGTACTATGAGCATGTATTATTTTCAGCAAAGAACCTAGCCACATAACTGAACAGAACAAAGAGACATCATGGGGAAGTTGGATGACTATTAGGTTTAGAGTCAAAAGAAACAAGGGTTTTTAATTTTTACTCACTTTATCTGGTGTCTTCCTGAACAATTTTAGTCTTGCATAGTACAAAAAGAGATTCTTTCAGTTACAGAGAAAGAAAAAATTGTCTCATCAACCAAACTACCAGATTTGGGGTATTTTATTTTAAAAAAAAACCCACCAGCATCCCTTTTATAATTATTATTCCTTTAGAAAAGAGGAGAAAAAATCTCTAGGAGTTCTGATCAAAGAATGATTATCAGGTGGGTGACGACTTCTACCATAAATAAGATGGATTGAGAAAGTGTGAGAAAACAACTGGATTTTAGCTGGATGTTTTTTAAAAAGCTTCTTTTTTAAAGAATTTTTAGTTTTAAGTTATGGAATAAAGCAAGTATTTCCATAAGATAGCATAATAGAAAAGATGACTGCACATGAAACTGCAAATCTATTATGTAAAACTTGCTATTCTTTTTAAACATATAATAAAGTTATCGTGTAAATTTCTTTTTTTTTTCCCTTTTTTCTTTCCTTCCCTTCCCCTTGCTCTAGAGATGGCTAATATTAGACACAAATAAGTATATGTGTAGATATGTATATATATACACACATATATATGAACATATATACACACACATGCATTTACATATATTAGATATAGATATATACATTTATGTGTGTTTGTGTGCAATTAAGCTCCTTTAAAAAGGAGATCTGTCCAAAACTGGAACAGATTCTCTCAGGAGGCAACTGTACTAGCTGATTCATATTCCTGGAATGTTCTCCCACTTCACCACCATTTCTCAGTGTAAATCAGAGTCTGGTGAGCAGGCATAGCATGTTTAGCTGATGTAATCCCAAGGTGGGAGAGAGCCTGCTTCTAGAAAGAGGTAATTCTATGTAACAGAAGGGCTCTGCGACATGATGTGGAGAGTGTCTGATAGTCTGTGAGTGACTCCAGTCTACCAACCATGTGGTAAAGAAATGGATTACTGGTTGGCTGTGCAGCCAGACCTTGAGTCCATTCCAAAAAGGCAACAACCAGCACAAATAAGGCTGTTTATCTGGTTCTTTCCTGCCTGGCTTAGACAGAATTCAGAGGCAAGGCATGCTACAAACTTCCAAGTGGGAGAGGGGCCTCTGGCCTTTATCCTTTCCCAAAGAGTCCAACATAATGGGGCAGATGAGCACCTGGGCCTTTGCTCCTTCTCTCTCCATGGTGTCTATTCTTCCTGCTTTTAAGTGAAGGGGTAGTGGAGACAATTACAACCTTTTGAACTTTGCAGGGTCAGAATGATAAGCCACCAGACATAGGAGCCAGAGCCTATGACAGGTTTTGCAACCAAAAAAGCCCAACTCCAAAGCCCCAAAGAACAACCATCACATCCCAACCTGAGGAACCCACCTTAACAGGGAGGCCCTGAGGAATGACCTGACCCAACTCAGCAGTAGCTGAAAGAAGACTCATTTAGTGGCTCTGCTGCATCTTGGACATGAACATTACCCCTGGTGTTATATAGAAAGCATTTCAACTCTCCCCAAGGACCTATCATAAGAGACAGCGTGCTCCAGGTGTTTATAGTTCTGTTCTTGTTATATCTTCACAGTAAATATAAAACTAATTTATGCTCATTCATTACATGGAACTGGGCCTCTAATGGCTAACAGTAGGGAGAAGTTCACTGGAATGGGGACTTGAGCCAATAGCATCTAAGAAGAATCACTCTGACCCCTCGAGGTTGCCTTTTCTCTGGGAGAGTAAGTCCAGAGTCTTGCTCTCATTTCCTTCAGGACTCTGCTTATACACCATCTTCTATACAAAAACTTTCCAGATCTTCACAGGTGCTATTTTGTAATTATGACAGGCAGTGTGGTATAATGGATGGAGAGTCAACTTTGGGGTCAGGAAGAGCTGTGCAACCCAGGGAATATCACTTAATTTCTTAGTACTTCAGGCAACTCTCTAGGAATAAGGTTCAGAAAAAGTACATATCTTCATTAATAAAGCTTTATTTCCTCATTGGGGGTTACCCATACCAATGAAACCATAGATCCAATCCCATTCTATTCCCATTTTTTGTGTATACTTATTTATACATATGCTGTCTTCTTTGAATGTAATCTCCATAAGGAGATCACCTTGTTCACATACAGGTTGGATTACATGACCCCTAAGGAACCTTCTAAATTTTTATAATTCTAAAATTTTATAATTATAATTTATATAATAAGTATTCTATTATACATTGTTATAATTATCATAATTTATTATGTATTAAAATTATTTAAATCATAATCTAAAATTAATTATTTATAATTTGACAGCCTTACTCCAATACTTACTGCTTGTGTGAACTTGGACAAGTCACCTAACATCTCCTAGGTCTCAGTTTCTTCATCTACAAAACGGATTTGACAATATTTCTACCATTGGCCTGGAAGGGTTGTTATGAGGAAAATGATTGTGAATCTTAAAGTATTATTTCAATCAATTAATTGATATGTATTTACAAAGCACTTACTATGTGTATGCCAGACACTGTGTTAAGTGCTGGGAATAAAAAGAAAGGTAAAAAGCTGCCTTCAAGGAGTTTACATTCTAAGGGAGAAGAACATATAAATGAATAGGTAGATATGAGATTCATGAAGTATAAATGTAAGGTAATCTTGGATATAAAGAAAGGTCTATGGCTCTAAACGTAAGCTATTATAATTAAAGAGGTTCAGGGTATCAAAGAATTTGGAGAAAGAGGTCCAGAATCCAAATCCCATCTCTGGCCCTGAGCACATTATTCAATCTTCCTAGGCCCATATCCTCATTTGTGAAATGATAGGATTGGATCAGATGATCTCTTAGTTGCCTTTATAGCTACTGCTCCCATGATCTCTAAGGGTTACCCCCTTACTATGACTTCTCCCATTACCAGCACCAGAAGCAAAACTCCTTCCTCCGCCCCCATGCTTTATAGAGGCCTCATCAGTAAAGGGATGAGGGCCCACCCTCATTTCCACCCAGAACTGATCCAACATGCGGGTTCATTGCTGCACACAGGAATCCAAGAATCTCACAAGATTTTACTTGCAGAAATGAAGATACAAAAATTTAAAAAGCTATAGAGCTTAACAAATAGTGGCCGACGTCTATCAAGGAAGTTTGAGCCGACAGTCACTTACTTGACTCCATATCAAAAAAGGAGTAGAGTTTTTCAGAGGCACAAGATGATTCTCTCAGCTATGGAGGAAAAAAGAAAAACATCACAGTCAATTTAAAAGCTCAGATACTTAAGCATCATTTGGGGGCAACTATTTGCTAATGAAAGTCTGGCAAGCAGATGCTTCCCAGGATCCTATTCCTTCCACTTCACTGACTTCTTTAAATTATTGGGTTCAGCTATTTAATTAGTAACAACTTTGCAGGCTAAATTATACCTCAACCCTTACTGGCTTTTTGTAAGAATCATCTACAGCTATGCATTACTTTCATTTTTTTTTTCAATGCATAAAGGTATAGTGATGCTACAGCTTTAAGTCCACGAAAACTCTAACTTTAAAGATTAAAAATTGGCCAGATAGCAAACAAAAGGACATTTCTAGGCTATCAAGGATATAAGGGAAGCTGTTTAGTCTTCCAGGTGCATTCAAGACATCCAAGGAAATCTTCTCTAAATCAGGGTTTAAATTTGGTAGGATTTCAAGGAAGGCCACCATGTGGACAGTACATGGTGACAAGCTAAAAAAAAAAATGTACTTTCAACCAATGCAAAGGAGATGAAAAATATAAACATGGTACCATTCAACCAAAACTTGTCTTATTATGACGTCTTACCTGAAATAATCAACTAGATACTCCATATCAAGTAGAATTGAAACGGTTTTTGTTTGCTTGTTCTTTTGTTTATAATATCTTATAAAAGAGATTTATAATGCATTCTTTTTTTTTCCTTTTCACTTTTAAGGTCAAGAGCTATGGTTTAATCAATGTAAAGAAGCTCTTCTGTAGCATGGAGTCTATAGAGTTGCCATGGACTCTGAGAGGTTAACGGACATGACAACCAGAGACAAAACTTGAACCTAGTTTTCTTAATTCCAAAATCAGTCCTCTATTTACTATGCCAAGACATGATCATCTCTTCATAGCAAAGACCTACCCTGTTAGTTATAAGGTAACATGAGGCAGCAAGGTATCATGCTGAATATTTTGCTAGACTGGGAGCTAGGAGACAGGAAGACGTGGATCCTGTCTCAGACATTTACTGGCTGCATATCCTTGGCCAATCTCCCTCAGCCTCAGTTTCCCCATCTGTAAAATAGAGGTACCCATAACAGCCACCTCTCATGATTGTTATGAGGATTGAGTGAAATAATACATGTAAAGCTCTTTGCAAATCTTAAAGAACTCTATAGATGTTAGCTTTTATCATAATTATTAAAAGGTGATGGAGGTGGTGGGTGGGCTGAAGATGGGGTACCTTTATATGTACTATTAGATTCCTGTGCTGGAGACAGGATCACGTCAGAAACCTCTAAGGCCAAAGTAGCAGGTGCTGCTCTGATACCCTACAGCCCAACTTACTCAAGAGCAAAGTCATGATCTTCTCCCCCATTCCTAGAGGGGACAAAGAACCTGGATTCCATTATGTCTCTCAACGTAGTCACTTCTACAGATCCCAAAGCCACAGCAGACTGGTTCTTAAAACCTACTTCCCTCCCAAACCTGGGCTTAATCTTCAGTTTTAAATGTGAATTTAAAAAATATATAAAAAATGAAATAAAGCAACTGTGAAAAGTGCTCCTGGGCAAATTTCCTGAGTTTTACTTACTAGTTTGAAAACAACTTTGCCAAGAAGTCTGACAGAGTCAGGAGGAAACTTGGGTTTTGAGCTCTTAAGGCATTTACATTCTCGCTTGTGATCCTGCCAAGCTTGTTTCTGTTAAGACAAGAGAGGGGGTAGGAAAAGACACACAATGCATCAAAATTTAAGCACAATTCACACTGGAGTAGAAAACAGTCCTAGGTACTCACGTAACTCCCACAACCTGTGTATCTATAACTTCAAAACAGAGAAGCTCTGTTAATGACCCCACAACGCAGCCTTGGCCAACTGTGCAATTACGCAGGCACAAAATTAAGAGCAGCCTCAACTCCACCTTTGTCCCTGAACTCTTTGACTAGTTATTACCTGCTGATAGGGGCCAAAGGAAGTCACTAAGACTTCCTTACTAACTTTTAAGGAGGCATTACTGAAAAGGGGAGTTTTTCAGCTTCATGAAATCCACGTATCACAGGATCTAAAAGCTGGACCAGATCTTAGACTCAACAAGACCAAGAAGCTGGATCCCAAATAGATGAAGTGACTTGAACATCACATACAAATGAGTTAAGAGATGGAAAGTACTTTACAACCTTTAAAGGGCTATACAAATGCTAGTTATTATTACTATTTTTTTATTCATAGCAAGTACATGGCAGATGGAACTAGAATTCAAGTCTCCCAAACTTTTTAGAGTTGGGAGACTCTAAAAACATGGTTTTTCCACTATATCATGCTGCAATAATAGATATTTTTCTGAAGGTAGACAAATATTTTTAGTGCCTTAATCAATCAACAAATGATTTATTAAGTACCTACTATATGAAAGCCATAGGGCAGATAGGTGATACAGTGGATAGAGTGCCAGGCTTAGAATCAGAAAGACTCATCTTCCTGACTTCAAATCCAGCCTCAGACACTTACTGGCTGTGTGATTCTGGGCAAGTCACTTAACTCTGTTTGCCTCAGTTTCCTCATCTGTAAAATGACCTGGAGAAGGAAATGGCAAACCACTCCAGTATCTTTGCCAAGAAAACACCAAATGGGGTCACAAAGAGTCAAATATGACTGAAAACTACTAAGCAGCAATAATACACAAGGCATATTCATAGGTATACACACATATACAAAGAATGAATCCCTCTCAAGGAATCCCTACCCTATATGTACTCAAGTACATGTAGAAAATAAAGCAGATAGAAGAAGAAAACCAACTGGAGAAGATGGCACTTAGCAGGTCACCATGAAACAGCCAGATAAAGTACAAGCCTCATAAATAAACATTTAATTTGTTGTCCTGTAGTATTTGAAGACAGTGCTGAAAGGTAATGCTACCTATGTAAGCTAGATCCATGACAATGAAAAGCTATTGAGCTCAGATGACCAAGAAGGAAGCACAGTATTCCATGCTGCACACCTGAAAACTGTCCTAAAGTTTAGAACCACAATTGCATCAGTAGAACCTAACGCAGCTTAGGGCTATGAAGCAAATTGGTTTATCTGCTACTGATATTTCCCAGAAGCTCCCACACCTTCCTCTTTGTTCTGGAATTGTTCTTTGGTGTTTGTGGAATAAAAGAAAGAAAACAGATCTTGGAAGCAGGACAGCTAGGTTCAAACTTGGATCTGCCAGTCACAAGCTATATAACAATATATGTCTTTTCTGCTTTCTGAGACTTGGTTCCTCCTCTATAAAAAGAGACATCTAAGGACCCTCCTGGCTCTGATCCTGTGATCCTATGGGTCCTATGACCCTGCTACCATAATTTCTCCTCTGAACCTCCCATTTTTCATCAAACGGTAAGGTGGCCACAATGTGCAAAGTACTACACTTGGAGTCAGTAAGACTTGAGTTCAAATCCTGTCTCAGTCACTGACTAGCGAGATGGCCTTGGTAAAGTTACTTAACCTAAGCCTCAATTTCTTCATCTGTAAAATAGGGTACCAGTACCTACTTCACAGGATTGTAGCAAGGCTCAGATTAGATAACACACGTGGATTGCTTTGAAAACCCTAAAGTGCTTTATAAATTCTAGCTGTCCATAGAATGGACATAATATGTGATCTAACTCATTCACAGGATTATTAGGGGAATGTGTCGTGTAAACCATAAAGTGTTATAGAACTGAGAGCTGGTGGTAACAGTGGTGGTTGTTTTTCATTTGGATCTGGAACCAAATCTGGGGTTTTACAGGCAAGGAGAACTGCTGGTAAGGAAAGTGCTTCTATCAGATCAGCTCTTCGAGAGGTGCCCCATGACCATGAGAGGTTGAATGATTTGCCCAAGGTCACATGGCCAGAATATATCAGAGGCAGGTCTTGAACTCAGGCCTTCTTGACTCTGAAGCCAGCCCTCTCTACCCATGACATCACACTTCCTTTCATCATAATTATAATTCCTCCACTCAAATCCATTGCTTCGTCATGGACCAGAAGGGACCCTGAGCTCCCAAAAGCTACATCAGCAAAGCACAAGTTCTGACTGGTCCTGTTGTTCAGTCATTTCAATCACGTCCAACTTTTTGTGGCCCTGTCTGGGATTTTCTTGGCAAGGATACTGTAGTGGTTTTGCCATTTCCTTCTCTAGCTCATTTTACAGATGAGGAAACTGAGGCAAACAGGGTTAAGTGACTTGACCAGGGTCACACAGCTAGTAAGTGTCTGAGACCAGATTTGAACTCAGGAAGATGAGTTTTCCTGACGCCAGGCCTGTCACTCTGGTTCTACCAAGCTAGAAAAGTTTTTGAGTACAAAGGCAGTGATAGACTGCATGCAACCTGAAGAAAGGTTTGTCATCAGGTTGACTGGAGGGGGTGAATTTTGGGGAGGAGCATTAGCAACTCTCAAAGGCCAATCATCAATTTATAGAAGAAGGCTTGCAATCTGTATGAGCAGGAGTACTTACAATGACTAAATGAGTATTTTGACACTACACATGGGATCTGATAGTTTAGTGATACCATCATGACACTCCATGAGGATAATGTGCAGCTAGGTAATGCAATGGCTAGAGTACTGGGCCTGGAGACAAGAAGACTTGAGTTCAAACCCTGGGCAAGTCACTGACTTTATATCTGACTGTTTGTAACATGTAAAATAAGGATAATAACAGCACCTACCTCCAAGGATTCTTATGAGGATCATATGAGATAATACTTCTAAAGCACTTTATAAACATTAAAGTGCCATATAAATGCTAACGTAGTAGTATTATTATTATTGACTAATAGTAATAATAACTCACATGTATACTACATTTTAAGGTTCATAAAACATTTTCCTCATAACTCTATGAGCTATGACTGCACCATCATCATCATCATCATCACTATCATCATCACCATTATTGCTATTTTATCGGGAAAAAATACTGGGTCTCAGAGAAGTTAGGAGCCTTGTCCAAGGTAGCACAGATCCAGGTCTTGAGCCACCATCTTTTGCCTTCAAATCCAGTGTTCTTTCCGTTACAACCAGTTGCTTTTAAAATACCAAAAGAATTGGTGAGAGCCAAAAGCAACATTAAACATAAAATTATCTTTTCTGTGGATAACGACAATGATTTTGAAAGGTAACTATCTATGAAAGGTAGAGCCCAATGTTATGTAACTGATATAATATTCCTGAAAAGGTGTGTGTAAATCAAATCAGATTCTTAATGCACTAGATGAACTCACTATTTCAAAGGAAACCATGACAATGAACTTTCTTTTTAAAGCAAAGGAAAACAAAGAAGCATCCCTTAATTAGCTTTATAAGTTTAGATTTTCTTCAAGCAAGGCATTTATTTGATCCAATTCAATCCAAGAAACATTTATCATACTTTAGATCTTGTGCCTAATACAGGACTTTTCACATATGGAATGGATTTTTTATTATTTTATTTGAACCTGGCACCATTTAGCAGATTCCATAAGAAACTGGGGAACCGAAATTAAAATCTCCTCCACCCCTCAAAATAATAACTTCAAAGATCATTTTCAATACAGGAGAACATAAAAACTAACAACGCTGATTCTTCAGCCAACCAACCTATGACTGATCTTGATTACATACAGAGGAAAGAATTGGTGAGATGTTAAGATAGGAATAAAAAGGTCATTTTATCTCTCTTCCTTCCAATAAAATGACATTGCTATCTTAACCTCTCTGTCTTTTCCTATAAAGCAAGATCATTCACAGTTCAACAATTTACTCAAAGGAAGAAAAAAAGAGTAATTCTGAGCTGAGCTCAAAAATTATAGTCACCTCTGGCTACCAGACCCATGAACTGACAGAGGTTTATTCTCTCCCTGATTAATGGATCTACTCCTCACCCTTTCCAGAATCAAAGGTTCATTTTCAAACAATGTTCCTTAAACAGAAAATTATTCATGAATCACAGAATCAGAGAATCTTAGAGGTTGAAGGGATCAACCTCCTACCAAAGATAGGAATTCTCCTTACAAAGGGCCTGACAAATGGTGATCTAGTCTCAGCTTAAGCACTTTGCACTTACTGGGGTCTCCTCTCACAAGGCAGATGGTTCACAAATGTTGGATAGCTCTATCTAGTAAATTCTTTCTTCTTTTGTTGTTCAATCATTTTTTCAGTAGTGACCATTTGGGGTTTTCTTGTCAAAGATACTGGAGTAGCTTGCCAATCTCCTTGTCCAGCTAATGCATTTGACAGATGAGGAAACTGAGACAAACAGGGTTAAGTGACTTGCCCAGGTACATAGCTAGGAAGTGTCTGAGGCTGGATTTGAATTCAGAAAGATGAGTCTTTCTGATTCCAGGCACAGCCCCCTATCCACAGCCACTCTATCCTAGCTCAGTCAAGGAGTCCTTGATCAAACTAAATAGTTCACCAATTAAACTGATGAAAATACAGAACAGGAGACATTGTTTGGAAGCAACTGACAGAGCAGAGAGAACTCCAGATGGTTAGCTATTTGACATTGGTCACCTCTACCCTTAGCCTATAAAAAAGAGTTAGTTGACACACTTTGCCTTTTCCCTTGCTCTTTTCTCCAGAGCACAGCAAATGCTGGGGGACAAAAGGCAGGGCAGGGAAAGGACTTCTCTCCCTTCTTTCCCCACAAGTAGCAGCAGTGGTGACTGACAGTGAAAGCCCACAGC